TGCCAAAAACTGGGCATACGTCATTTAAAAATGGTCCCGTATCGGCCGCAATCAAATATAGCGGAACGGGTCAACAGAAATATAGTGAAAATTATCCGTAGTTATGTTAAAAATTTTCATAAAAGCTGGGATAACTATGTCAATGAATTTGCTTTCGCCCTTAGGACCGCAAAACATGATACAACGGGCAAAACTCCTGCTGAGTTATTTCTAGGCAGAAAGATTATAACACCGTTAGATAAATTATTTTATGTGCAACAAAGAGCCCCAGAATTTAAAATGGGTGATATAGAAAAACTAATAAAAGAAGCAAAAAAGAATACGGAAGTAGCACAAAGAAAACAGAAGCTATATTATGATTTGAAACGACGGGGAGTAACTTATAAAGTAGGGGATGAAGTTTTAAAAATTAAGCATTCACTTTCTTCAGTACCAGAAGATAAAACTGCCAAATTTTTCCACGATTTGAAGGACCATATGTTATAGAAAAAATAACTCACGCTGTTGTAGTGTTAAAAGCCAGAAATGGTGAAACCTGTTTCGCAAACATTGATCAAATCAAGCCGTACTTCGATCGTAATAAAATGCAAATCTTTTCAGATCTTTTGCAGGATCCGGCACGGCAGACACCGCAGGTACAAGTTCCAGAGGTGGAAAAACGACAAGTACAAGGGCAAGCCAATGAGAGACAGAAGCAAGTGAAAAGAAAATTGCCCCGCGGAAAAATTGAAGGTAACAAGAAAAAGAAGCCGTTCCACCGTCCAGAAAACAGAGTTCACGAACACCCCCAGAATGAAGAAGGGAGAAGGACGACGTATGTGAAGAGGACCAGGAGAAATGACGGCAACTATAACCCGGCTTTAAAACGGAAGATCTACTCATCCGACAGAACTCTCCGCAGCAAAAGTCGCCGAACTGCGGAAGGGCCATCAGCGGCGGAGGAAAAAGTACAAGGAAAATTTGAACGGCCAACAACGAGGTCCAAGCAGGATCACGACAGAAGTTTCCCGGTTCCGCCAAGACCAGCTGCCTTCAAACGGCCAAGACCACAAGCAGAGGAGAAAAGGAAGGTGTTCAAGGGTGGCCGTACTGGTGAAAAACGGAAGCTTCCAGAGGAAAGCACTGAAGGGCGAGCCCGTACAAGAAGGAGGATAAACCAACTACTATCTGCAGGACCTTTAAAGACTGGGCCCAGAAAAGGATGTCCGAATATTACAAAGATAAGTAAAATTTTATGTTACTTTGCAAACTTAAGTTAATCTTTCATTCTTACTGCAAGTGGCAGATTTCAAGAAGTTTTACCTCATGCGAGGTCTACCTTTATCGCCAAAAGGGCGAGAAATGAGTTGTACCGATTTTGGTATTATGTTTTTCAATTACTCGCGCGTAAAACTAAAGTTGATGTATAATAGCGTTGTGTAAAGACTTAAATATTGTAAAAAGTTATTGTATAAATTTTATTTAAAACATTCTAGCAAGAGAGAAGTTTTAGTCTGAAAGACTTTTTGAAATGTAGTATTATTTCAATGTAGAAAGAATTGGCACTTGCTTTGAAAAGAATAGAAGTTAACAATGTACTACTAATGTATGTTTTCAAATCTGTAAAATTAACGGCATGTTGATATGTTCTGTTATTTTAAATGTTAAGAAATACCGTGATATGGTAAAGGTGAAAGTAATGTTAAAAATTTGTTATTCGTGTGACTGTAAAGACTAAATCATGGCGAATATGTGTTAAAGGTTGAATGATGTAGTTAGGCTCTCTGACGCTACACTTTAGAGTTAGCCACTTTTAGAATAGTACCTCAGGGTTTAGAGTTGAAATTAGGGTGTGTTAAGAGGTCTCGTTATGTTGAATTTTAACACGTTAGTGTTTTGATTGTAGGAGGAAGTGTGGCACACGTAGACAGAAACACATTCGTGTTTGGTGTTCTTTTACAACACATGTCAGAGAGCACGGGGAGAGATAATTAAAATAGTCATGAATGAAATAAGAATGTTAAGAGCAGTATAATTCTATATGTTACTTGCCATGTCATTGTGTAACATTTCATTAAACTAGTTTTCCTTCCAGATCTCTGGAAGGAACCAGAATTGAATAAAAGCTCCTGGTTAGATGCAGTACAGATGAAAAAAAAGATTGTTGTATATCCTGGGAGCTGCTATTGTAACAAATTTCTTTCTTTTAAATTTCTAGTTTCTATCGAAGTTATGTTTGTAAAAGATTGGCCTCGCGTTAGATTCTAGAGCTAAAAGTTTTCAACAAGGTCGTTTTAGACCTCAGTTTCAAACTAATTAACTCTGGCGGGAAGTATGTAAGGATCTTAAGTTTTACTAACGTTTATTTTATTTTAAATCTTTACTATCACTTCTTATTTTCTACTTCCGGCCAGAATTATAAGCGTGAAGGTTTTTATGCAAAGTTTATCTGGCGAACGCCAAGTATTTAAGTGTGGCCTTTTTGCCAAGCGAGAGAGAGGAAGCAGTGAGTCAACGCAGGCCGCTTACCTTAGAAGTTACGCAGTTGCTGTTTGCCTTCCAGGCCAGAGGTTTTAATCCTCTTGATAAATTAAACGTATTGTAGTGTTCACAGTCTCTGTGCTACATACGCTTCCTGTTATTATAAGGCCAATCTTCCACGTGTATTATTCTAGAGTTAAATTAGAGTTTAGTTTTATTTTTATATTTTACGTTAGACCCCGAGTGGCGGGTCATTGTATTCCGAAGTACGGAAGTTATTGTATATAGAGAAAAATAAAGGGTTTTTGTATACCCTTCGTCTGTATCCTGCCTACTTACTACAAATTAGTGAACATAGCTTTAGTAAGCTCTCTGTTCCTAGTCAGGTCCTTGTATGTTCCCGAAGAAGGTTAGAAGGAATATTGAACCTGATACCTTTAACTATTTTTCTTCTTTTTATCAATTTGGATGTTATGTTGGTCTTCAAGGGAGTGGAATTGCACAGTTTTTGGCCTAGTTATTGTCGAAATCCAAAAGGATAAATTCTTGCTTTATTGTGCCCATACAAATTAAACATTGTGGGAACAGTTAAAAGTCCTAATAATCTTCCCACTGAACACCAGCTCTAGACCAGAAGATTGTAAAAGGTTTTTGTTTCGGCTGAGTGCCAGTGTTAGCTTCCTTCCATATAACTCCATAAATTTAATAAAAGGTAATGGAAGCTGAGCTGGCATCTTCGGCGAAATCCCGTCGCTTTCTTGGTTAGTTCGGTCACCTTTAGCTTGGTTAGCAGTAGGTAACATTGCTAGTTTCTTCGTTTTCTCTTTCTTTCTGCCAGCAATGGATTTGAGAGAAAGATCTTTGGTTTTGCTAGCTCCTGATAAGGTAACAGGAATATCAGCCGAGCTCACGACAAGATGGCAGCAGAATCGTCTCTTTTATCGTCATCTTCTTGGCTTGATGGAAATCCCTCAGGGTACATAAAGAAAATCCGTTGTCATTTAGAGGACAATCTCCATTTGCCCCAGATTTCCTTCAAGCGCTTTACTCAGATGAACTTGGGGTTGTAGGTCCTCTACAAGCATTGACCAAAAGTATTGTTCTTCTAGTTCACATCTATAAAGGAACTTCCTCGTGAGAGGAAACGCTGAGCAGAAAATGGTCATGAACAGGCATTTTGAATTAATTAAAAACATTATAGAAATATCAGTCATTATTGAAATATGAGCTTCCAAAAATGCTTATATTGCGCAGCGATGTAAAACCTCGAATTGACTGGTAAGAAATAAAAACACAACTGACTGTTCTATTGCTAGAAATCAGCTTGCCAAAACATGCAAATACAGCTGATCTTTATATGTTTAGAACTTTTTTACCTGAATTCGCTTTTTATGACCTCTTTTATTCTCCGAATCATTTTCAACCCCCGGATATATATCATTCACTCGCGTATTCTGTTCCCAAATGAATTTTCATGCAAATAAATGCAATGATTTCAAATGAATTTTCATTTGCATTTCATGTGATATACTAAGTAGATCTAACAACTATTTCTTATTGTTAGTAAATAACAGTGGTATATGTAGAAAATAAACCTTCCTTTCCCATTTTGAATGCCTTTAACTATTCTCAGCAGTTTTAGATTACAATTTTAGCTAGTCCTTATGAGAATGTCATCATTTAAATGGTTATTGTAGACTTTATGCATTCATTCCCTGATGTGTAAAACAAGTAGTTTTTTGTTAACTAATTAGGATAGTTTTTGGAAGAATTTTCTGCATTATAGTTTTTATTTATAATGAAATATAGATTTAAATATATGAATAAAATATTCAGACTTTAGGTCTGTCGATCAGTTAATATCCGAAATCATATACAAAATCTCCAGATAAAATAAATAAAACTGGATAAAGAAAATAAGATTTAACATTTTCTAACTTTAAATGCTTACACTGTTTTTAGGACTAATCAAATCATATTCACTCAAATAGTTAAGACATATTCAAAGAGTTTCTATTAATGTTTTATATTCCATTCTTTATTTTCCTTTAGTTTTAATTTTTGATGATTCTATTTTCCTTCGTTACCAACAGATGGAGCTATACGTTTGCGTACTGTTCGTAGAATATGATGTGTTGCTAACACTATATAGAAGACTGACTTGCTTTGATTATTTCCTCAACAATATTTAGGTTTTTATACACCAGTTAACATCCAAAGAATAATGCGCAGCTAAAACCTTTGAAATTAATATTGTCCATGTGTTATTTATCGTGTTAAATTTCGTTGAAATTATTTTAATTCCACATTTAATGCTTCCTGTAAGAAAGAAATTAGAAAACTATTTTACTGATATTTTTTCAACGCTATATTTTCTTTCCCAATAACGGAAGAACTGATCTAATTATGTAACACTTTTAAGCAAATGCAATTACTGCTATTGTTATACCAATTATGCAATCATGCATTTAGTATCGCATGCATCCTAAATTAATATTCTTTCTACTTATAAATATAGGGATTCTAAAATAAACACGCACCCGCTGGTCCAGGAGGACCGGGCGGACCTTCCAATCCAGGAAATCCTCTTTCTCCTTTGTCACCCTTTGCTGATATTTCTCCTGGCTCCCCTTTCAAACCCGGAAATCCAGGAACTCCGGGATACCCTTTTTCTCCTGGTAAGCCTTTTTGACCATCCTGTCCTGGAAAGCCGGGAAATCCTTTATCACCCTTTAATCCTGGGGGTCCTGGAAGACCATCCACGCCTGCTTCTCCGGGAGGACCAGGTAAACCTGATAGGCCTCGTTCACCCTTCTCACCTACAATACGGGAAGAAAAAAAAAAAAAAAAAAACTTGATATTTTTTTACATTAAAATTTGAGGTAACAGACAGAGGAAAGAGAAAATTATTTATACTTACTTTGATATTAGGTTGATGTATAATATAATGCAATTGGTTCTATTATCATTTGCATAATCCTTTTTAATTTACGCTAAGTTCAACTTGATACATCACAATAAAAGAAAACTGATTTATAAATGATAACAAAGAGTTTGAAAATAATACAGATATTTACAGGTATCTGAAAAAAGAAATCGTTTTTAAATTACCCGTGGAAGATGTTTTCACTACTGGATAAATCACGAAGTTTTACATTACGCAGTTTCTTTCTTTTAAATTTCAATACAATAATATTTTAATAAATTAATTACTTCTAATTAGGATAATAATATTTTATTATGGAGGAAAATGTCAAAATATTCGGAGACGGAATAAATTAAGAATATTTTTCGGCCTAAGATTTATACTAACATTTCACAAATCTTTCGTGGTTATAATTTACAGTAATGATTTCAAGAAAATCTTCAGAACCCGAGAATCATAGCAACATTTTTAATTAATGTCTAGATTATAGGTAGCAGTAACGCAAATTATAAATACATTGATATACATTTTGTATTATACATTCTTAAACTGATATTTTCCTTAAAATAGTCAAATTCTGTCAATGCTATCAGCGCCGTTTGATGATATCAAGTTCCCATTTAAATGAACAGCGGTTCGATAAATCATATTTTGCGTACACAGGACTTTTTTGTTACAATATACAACATATGTTTTCCTATAATATTGTAAATTTACAGAAGTTGATCGTTCGATAGTGGTACTATTTATGGGTACTACCAGAGATCAAATGGCTTCTAATTTAAGAAAGATATCATCGTTTTGCATTCTAGAAGTAAATCAAACTTTTCAGTATTAACAATTTTTTGTTTTTTAAAGAATGAAATTTACATAATGCTTTTTTGTCATCTTCGAACAAAGGCAAACAAACAGAAGAAATAACCCAACCGAACACAGACAACAATCCAGAAATATCTTCGACAACATAAAAGTCCAAAGACTTAAATTGTTCGATATCAGATATGATATATGATTTTTGAAGAAGTTTGTTGCTCGTTAACAAAAGCAATATTTTTAAATTTCAAACACAAATACTTGATTTTTTTCAAGAGCAAGCGATACAGAGAATGAATGTTATGCTATTCAAGCTAAAATATATCGATTTAAGAGTTTAAAAGTTTTCAATTAGATTTTAGTAAATGTAAACTTTTTTATATTTTTTTGCTTATTACATGCTCTGCCCTTAGGGAGTACATGGAAAGGGAGGAATGCCCCGTGGAGGTCTTTTTAAGGGAAACTGGCTCGTATCCATGTTACAAATGGGGAAAACCACGAAAACGCCCATGCAGCCAGCCCGTTCGCCAAGACTTGAACCCAAATCGCCGCAGTGTTCAGCGACTTTTACCACTCGGCCGCTGCTGGGCAGACGTACACTTTGTAATACATTTTCCTTAACTCTTATTGAAATCTGTGCTATGTATATGTAATATATTATTTCATTTTCTCTATTATTCAATTGAAATTTACATTATTAAGTTAATATAAATGTTAAAAATTATTGAAATATAAAAAATAATTCAGCAACCACAACAGAATTTTGAAAATAGTGGGAAAAATATCTAAAATTTGCGAAATTATTCGATAATTAGTGAAATTCTTCGCGATATATTGGACACGTGGTTAAATTAAGAACCGTTATAATTCTATAGCAAATGTTAGATGTGTTCTTTCCTAAACAGGAGAATTTAGGAGATGTTACGAGTCAAAGATGCCTCTAAAAAGCGAAGACAAGCTTCAGCGCTCTGCTGACGATACTCAGTCGCACCTTGTTGTATATCGGAATCTCTTTTTATAAGGCAATTACATTCAGCGCAAAAGAAAAGTACAAAAGCATACTGAAATGAAGAATAATGGTGGATAGATTTCCTTGGACAAAAGTCAATTCAGAATATCAAAAAATAAGTTTCCTTATTGTTTATCCTATCTTTATTTAAAAAAATAACGTAATAAAAATACTTAAGATAGTAAATCGTAACGAAGATTATTCAGTGTCAAAAAGATAAACCTACCCGTTTACGCTCCTTTGATATATCACAGCCTTTGTAATACGTCGAATATTTATTTATACAAATGCCAGACATTTGGTCACTAAGCCGTTATAGATCTTGATCTTGCTTCATAATATTTAAGAACAGTAGAATTAAAAGATAATAGTGCAGTGCATTCGTCAATATGCTCCTTATCCATGGACTGACCAGAGTTACAAAGATTACAGACAGACGAGTATTAAGTACATGCAACAGGTGTAGACAATTCCAATGAATGCACAATATTTCCGTTGCGTATTGTTAAAGTAATATTCGAATTATTTTTCCTTTGTTATTTTTTTATACCGTCTTATTTCGAGACCGTGTAAAAAGAGAATCCGATGTAATTTTAACGAGTTTAGGCCCAGTTCATAACTTCCTTGGCCAGCCGTCACAGCTGCTGTAAGAACGCTTAGCATATTTTAGAATTTATGCGACGGACACTATCATTCATTAAAACTCTTGCTAATAGAACTAAGGATCATTAGTTAGGACACTATCATTCATTAAAACTCTTGTTAATAGAACTAAAGATGATTAGTTAAAGAGTTTTCGATTTTAAAAATAAGTAAAGCCTAATATTTCATAGCTACTTTAACGCTCTTCTAATGAATCACCTGAGACAAATGTCTCTCACACATCCCCCTCGTGTCGACCCTCATGATAGAATCAGACTAATGCCAGATATATCGTACGAAATATATCGTACGAAATTATCATGTTTCACATTTGTTTTGTAACACAGTGTATTCTCGATTATCTGATCGTAGATTATCTGGTTTGCGGTTTATTCATGCTTAGCGATGTCTACGCATGCACGCGTGCGTGGGCACCGCTGTGCGCGAAAGTAAGTAAAAAACAAACACGTGCAAGTTCGAGCATAGAGGATAATACTTCCCAAATATTAGAAATCAGGAGATTTATCTAATTGTGAAGAAGTCGAGGCAATAAATGAAATTGTATGCCAAAAAAATTTTAAATGTAGAATTCTACGAAAACGTCGATTGGGACAAAATCGAGGAATGGTTCGATGGCGAGGCCTTCAGTGTACGTATGTACACTGTACATCGTTTCAAATGCCACATGCAAAAAAGGCAGACAGTGATACTAAGAAAGAAAAAAAAGAGATGCAAGAAAAAAAAGAAGCAAAAGAAAAGAATATACTGACATTTACATTAGCCCCAAGACAGCTGTGATTTCTGTTGGAAACTCTACTGGCTTTCACCGATCAAAGGGGATTGGAATCTAATGATAAAATAGCATTTAAGGAGGCTCATACACCTTAAACCCCTTATGATCTTCGAATATGTGACTGTTGCAAGAATTAGGATATTTTATTTATTTTAAAAGCAATTAATTCAAACTTTTTACAGCTGACTACACAATATATAGCTGCTTTGGAAACTAGTAACCAGAAGGTTTGTGCTGCCATAAATATTTTTGTAATTTAATCCGCTTTGTGACAAAATTTTTCGTCACGTTTCCATCTTGCGCTCATGACGTTTTAAAAATGGCTAATGGTGCATACTTGAAATTTGATGCAATTCTTTATATGGGAACTATTTTCTAACTGAACCAAAAATCTGATGAATATCAGATTAAATATTAAAAAAATAATTATATATATAAAAAGTTTATGCAAGAAAACATTACAGATTTTTTTAATAAAATACATTTTATAAACTCAACTTCAAATAAAATAAAAATTTAACTTGAAATTCTTAGAATATTTGGTTCACGGTAGTTTCCAAATGTTATAAAAACTATATATTAAGTATGGAATAAATTATGCAGCAGAATGTTTTAAACTGTGCGCGCAAGGCGAAAACATGAGGAAAACATTTTTTCATAAAGCGGATTAAATTATAAAAATATTTGTGGCAACACAAACTTTCTGATTACTATTTCAGAAAGCAGCTATAATATGTAGTCAGCTGTAAAAAGTTGGGAGTAATTGCTTTTAAAATAAATAAGTTATCCCAATTCTTGCAACAGTCACATATTTGAAGATCTTATTGGTTTTAAGGTGTATGTGTCCCCTTAAAAAATACGCAGTATAATTAGATAAATATTTAAATATTCTCAAAAACAAAGTAAAATCATTGACTTTTTAAGAAAAGAAATAAACACATACAATATGCAGGAAAATTGATAGCTTGGATTATCCGTGTTTTTCAATTATTCGTGATCTGCTTCCCCAGAATAACACAGGATAATTTTTAAATTTTAAATAACATTTTACAGTGCAGCTACATTTTTTTCTAAGGAAAAGTATTGGATATAAAGGTTTAAAGATTCTGCCATTATTCTAGTGCTTCATAAAAATTTTTAAGCTGCCCATTATATGAATAAGGACACTAACAAAGTGAGCCTACTTTGTAGCCACTGAGGAATATTTACCGTACACTGAATATTCACGTAGCCACTTGCTAAGACAGTGAAACGTCCTTTGCATTTTATATATGTCTCATAAAAGAACATTCTTTTAAAGCAATTTTAATTTACGTATTGCCGTGTTCTAGAGATCGAATAGAATTTCTGACCAAAATGAGACAATATTGAAATAAATCGAGGAAAAAAAATCCCCTTACCTGATAAACCAGGTAGTCCGTCTTTCCCATCTTTGCCAGGGATCCCAGGCTGTCCTGGGGGGCCGTCAAAACCTGGCAATCCTGGACCTCCAGGTAAACCTGGAATTCCTTTTTGACCTGGTAGACCAAATGGTCCTGGAGGACCTACATCTCCTGGAAAACCTTTCTGACCTAATTAATTAAATATAGTATACTAAGCATTTACAACATAATGGCAGTAACATACTGCTTTTTTCAGATTATCCATGAAATACGGTCAGTATATTTTTGCATCAAAATAGAGTTTCTTTAGAAATTTACGCACTAAAGGTAAACTACATTTTTTTTACCTTTTGGACCGTCAAATCCTGGAAGTCCAGGCTTTCCTCTGGGTCCCGGAAGTCCAAACAAAGCAGATTCACCTTTGTCTCCTTTAGCACCTGGAGAACCAGGTATTCCTGGAATTCCTCGATCACCTTTATCACCTGGATAACCGGGAAAGCCTTTCTCACCTGGAATATAAATAGTGTTAGAGTTCTGGAAATTCTCAAAAATAAATTAAATGTACACGATAATAGAAGAGTGCTTCCATTTGAACCTCATTATATATATAAATTTTTAACTTGATTTTTAAAAATAAAGGTTAAATAAAACGGTAGAAGCAGTACACATTTCAAGTATTTGGGATGTCGAAACAGATTTTTATGTTGTTAAAAGGCTATCTGTAATGTAATAAATTATTTAATAATAGCTATTTTAAACTTTCTATTAAGTTGTTTAAATATAGTAGCCAAGCATTCATTTACAGCCTATTACTTTAAAATAGGCATTAAGGTCTTTACTATCGCAATACGTGTCGTCATCACCGCATTTCCTCCAACTCATGTGAGATGTTAATGCGTCGTATATTGCATATGCGTACAGTGTATTAGATTTAACTAGTAACGTAACTAGTAGTAGATTCCACATAAAAAGTATATCATCATAATAAATGAAGAAAAATCTCAAATATTTTTTTAATCGGGGGCTTGACTGCCGCTCTGACGATTGCTCGGACTCACGTTTGTCGTGTCCGCTAGGCCTAACCGCTTCCTTCTTGACGCTGTGTGCGGCCATGGTTCATTCATTCCTGCCAACATCGTCTAATAGTGGCATCGCTCCCTGCTCAATGTCGAGCTATTCACCGATAAGACCACCGGCTTCTTGAGCTACACGACCTCTCTCAAATTCTGACATCTGCGCATATCATTCGCGCACCTGTATGCCAGGTATAGTTACTTCTACCAGAGTACACGGAATGAAATTCGTGAAGTATTTATGACCTGGAATCGTAATTTTTCTTCTTATATATCCTTCCAGTTGCGCAGATTTTAACAGGGGTTTCTCAGAAGCTTTCAATTTTATTTTGGGCATCATTTTCCCCAACAGTTTGGATTTCTTTTTATATACAGCATAAGGTATTTCTCCCGCCTTCTTAGCACGCATACGTGGTGTAGTGGTCAGCGCACTATGCGAGTATTCGAGAGGTCCGTGGTTCGAGTCTAGGCGAGATCATTGATCATTTTCCATTATTCGTGCTTCAAAAAACTTATTGTCTCTACAGTGGCACCCCGATTAAAAAACATGGTGGATGATGATTCTCCACCATCAGTATTTCTTCCTCCTTCTTAGCATGCCTTCGTGGTGTAGTGGTCAGCATACACGGCGCGTATTCGAGAAATCCTTGGTTCGAGTCCCGGCGAGGGTATTGCTCATTTTTCATGTCTCCTACTTCAAAATAACCTAATGCCTCCACATATTTTGTTTGTTCATTTACTACTTTAAGCATGAAACCAAAATTTGACCGAATACGCGGTTTGAAGAGTAAATATACTACTTAGGAAGAAAGAAAAGGTAACGTACACATTAAGCATATTATCACACCATATTTATAAAATGAAGTTTTTGACTACTCCATAAAACATATTTTAACTTTTACTACCTTACAACATTTTACTACTTACACAAATACTGAATTATACTGCAGTAAATTCATATAGATACAAGAGAAAGTTTATTTTATCGCATGCTTATACCTACTTAATTTTTGCTCCTATCAGGCCACTAATCAAATGGTGACAAAATACGAATGAGAGTTTCTTTTTTGATAAAAATTTAATGAATTCAACTACCTCTAGTTTATTCAAATCAAATCGTAAACATACATATAATAAGGATTCGTATAAACGCATCTAATAATCCGATAACATAGTTCAATTTAAAATAAATCCTAAGAAAATTGTAGGTGAGCTACGATCTAGCGAACGAATTCTGTGACGACGACAACTCGAAAGCGTTTTGCCGATGCAGAGAAACGAATGGATGTAAATTAATTACGAGAGGCGTGAAAGTAAACACCTGTGTTATTTTTTTATATACTTTGTATTTGAATTTACTCTCGTTTTTTTCCATTCTGTCTTTATTTATTTGCACTAATTTTGAAGCGTGAAAAATATGGGAAATGAAATGTAGAAATATATATTGCTAGCTTCAGCTTTGCTAATATTCGCAAATAATTTTAGCACGACTGCAGATTCACAAGTGTGACAAAATTAACACAAAAGAAAATCAGACTTTTCCAGTCCATTTAAATTATCATAGAAATTGACTTCTTTAACTTCTATATTGTTGTTAGATTCTTACTAAGCCCTTAAGAATATTGTTTCATTTATTTCCTTGTTGACAGCAAGGGCGTATCATTAGTTTCTTTGTTGTTTATTATTAAAACAACGTTCAGAAATTTCATTAGATAATGTATTTTGTGAAACTTCTAACAATACCCCTATTTTAATATTCTAATTAAACATGTTACCTTATCTTTCCCTTTGTACATCCGTTTTGGTTAGACTACACTATCATTATCTAAGAGCTCACATAGATGTTTTCTAAATTACACGAGTCTCATTACAGGACTAATTTCACCTAATGCTGTTTCGCTAATACTACCTTTGTTATCATAGATGTGGATTAGCTTCCCTAGGAAATGTGAAGTTGCATTCTTCCGTTAAATCCAGCCTTCTCATTTCTAATTAAGTAATTGCTGTTTTATAGCCTCGTTATGAGTATGAAATTAGCAAATGTTATGTTAGATATCACATTTAATCTTAAAAAAGATGACATGCATTCATTAGTTTCCTGAAGTATTGATTACGGTTTTATGAAAGGTTTCTTCAGCATATTTTCATTATAAATATTTTTTCCTTCATAAGTAAAAGATTACTTTAATCAGCGGTTATTACCACTCAAAAACACGTTCCACTTGCTTAAACATATGTTGAGAGAGATAATGGAGCCTTTCACCAAATAACAAATTTTATTTCAACCGAGCACTTGGTATGTGCAGAGAAGAAATCTAAATTCTGAGTGTTCGCTCTCTAATTGGACACACTGATTCACTACCAGATGCCTATTACTGCTACATTTATTACTTCCTGTAGATAGCTCGGAGCTAATTGAGACCATGTCTTCATGCACATAACTTACTGATTTACATTTGAAATTGTTATAATATTACTTTACAACTACTAGAATATTAGTAATAGCATTTTAGCAAATTTGTTTTGTATAGCACTGGATGTAACTACTAGCTCTAAAACGGTTTAATTTTAGCATATCCGCTGTATGACGCTTAAGCTTGTAGAGAATTCAGATATTTTTAAAAAAAAGGAGTCATGAAAAATGAGTAATACTCTTTCCGGGACTCGAACCACGGACCTCTCGAATACGCGCCGAGTATGCTGACCATTACACCACGAAGGCATGTTAAAAAGGCAGGAGAAATACCTTATATACTCCCCCTTTTTAAAAGGCGACTGGGGATTAGGGGATCCAGTCGCCAAATCCTGGTTGTCGGGAATCATCATTCACCACCCTTTCTAGTTCGGGAGCCACAGCTGATTATTAGTTTTTCTTTTATTTTAAACAAGGAAATCGAAGAAATGAGCATTGTCCTCGCCAGAACTCGAACTACGGACCTCTCGAATACACGCCGAGTATGCTGACAATTACACCATGAAGGCATGTTAAGAAGGTGGTAGAAATACCTTATAAGCTCATATCTAGGTGAACTTGATGGTTACAAAATAGTTTATATTATGATATAGTGGCAAAATTTTTGTCGACATGGTTGAAGTTATTTTCTCAAAATATTTGCACATTTGTGAGCATTAATTATTCTTGAAAGCACAAAAATAAATTAGATTTATATAAATAAAAATGAACTTTTCTTGTATTTCTTGCTATATTTGTGATCTCATGTGTCCAATTTCTTCTTCGTGAACAAGTTGAATTTCCCATAACGTATGGTTATGTTCCATCTATAGAAGAAAATAACTTTCGTAGCGAAAACCATCTATCACGGGTGTGAGAAAACATTAAACGGGATCTACCGGCCAATTACGAAGAGATTTAGTGGCTTTCGTTCCAAGAAGCTGTGGAAATCTTTACACCGCATGTCGCAGAAATGTGATACTAAATGGCTTCTGGAGATAAATTTTAGATGTGCTTCGGAGTTTATTGCCGGAAACAATTTTGTTTTTCAAATCAAAATAGAACGGCAGCGAGGTGATATAAAAACGTTTCTAGTTACAACATTCCTTTTTCTGATAAGAATTTAATGTTATAAATTCCAGTCACGTAAGCTAGGTCAAATAGCGAAGCATAGTAGAACTTGAATTATACAGAATCCGAATATCTGAATTATTCTTTAATCTTTCAAAAGTTAAATAAAATTAAATTTGTTAACTTTTTTATTCTTATATTAACTTTTTATATTTTTAATTAAGCGTTTTGGAAAAAATTCTGAATTTTTCACAGCTTTTAAGAGCAAACATTTAACAAAGAATATATTATACTGTTGAATTCAACATTTTAGTTTAGTTTAAGTTGAATAAAACCTTGCTTTTAGTCTTACTCATATAAAAAATAAGTACTTTATAAAGTTTTAGCAAACATTAACAATACACGCATAAGTTTCGATCATTCGTTAAAAAAAATTCGTCGTTTTATATTAGAAAATAAGCTGAATATATAGGCAAATGGATTTTTTTTTTTTTTTTAAATTTTGTTCAGACATAAATATACGTTTTGTAGTTTTTATTTCGTTTTATTCTATTTTTCTCAAAATAAAAATATTTTTAACTCTGCAATTTTTGGAGAGAAAAAATAATTACGGCATATGTTTGAGCTACTTAAATAAATTAACCTGATTATCTACATTCTTAGCACATTCGGATGGGGTCTTGCTTTGCATATTCAACACCTTTGAATTTTTTCAACCTATGAATTCAACACTTATGAATTTTTTATCCATGGTTGTATAGTTTCGTTTTGTGCCATATCGCATTATTTTAATGACTGGTTTATGATCTGGAATCTGAATATTGTACTTTTCTAACCCAAAACTTCTAACATTTTAATAACAAATTTTTCTAACAGCGTGCAAAACGAAAAAAAAAAAAAGTCAGATAATTTTTTTTTCTATAATTATGCACTTAAAACCGTTTGATAAATAATAATTTTCAACATATTCTTTTCTCTGCAAGTTCATTAGTAAATATATGTAACTAGCAGACCATCGACTCTTAGTTATTTTTTTATAAAGAAACCACCTTGACCTTAAAATAAGTGGGCCCACCAGCGGCCGAGCGGTAAAAATCACTGAACACTGGTAGTTAGGTCCTGAAGTTCGAATCCCGCGAACGGGCTGGCTGCATGGCGTTTTCGTGGTTTTCCCCATGTGTAAACGTGTATACGAGAGCAGTTTCCCTTAGAAAGTCCCTCCACGAAAGGCATCCCTCCCCTTAGGCAGGATAGCCCTAGTGTGCTTTGCCGTATTCTCAATACACACCTTAAAATAAGATGATGTTGCACGTAAAGTGATTTGAAATTCTGTAGATGATTTACACATAATGAGAACGGGAAGCGACATTATAGGAGGTTTTCAAGATATGAACTAAATTTTTCTGTACAAAGTACCAGAGGTATAATATTCTCTCGGGTACTGATCCAAGGGGCCGATTCACTTTACAAAGTTACGGAAACACTGATTCGTTAATAAAGAAGGACAACTAACTAAGAGTTCATTCACATATAGCTCTTGTTAAGAGTTTGTCAGTAAGGTTAAGTGGGAATACACTTAAGGAATTTTAAATGAAGCTTATGATACCATGTTAAATGTAAGTTTAATTTTTATCAATTCCCGACTTTTGAGAATTTTTTATTCTAGAATTTTATTGTTCATTTTATGTATGTAGAAAGGAAATTTAAGGAATCTCAAAGCTACGGTTGAAAGAAATCAGCCTAGGGATCAGACATTGGTTGAACTGATTCTTCCGTTCCCATTGTTGCACATTTTGTTTTTCGCTTTTAGCTCCATCCTCGCTCCCCGTTCTTGATTTACTCCCAGTTCCCGTTCTTTTATACATCAAGGTTAGTAACAGTGACCGTTGGATGGTAAAGAAGAAATGATTCAGTTTAGTTGGCGAATAATTCTGATGTGACAAAATAGAACAAAAGAACATTTAGAAAAACAAAAGAACAAAGTATACAAAAGAACGGTTTTGCCAGATTCTAGGAAATTCTCTTAATAGTTTAAATATTACACTTTAGAAACAAACTTATCAAACAAATATGTATTGTTTTAGATATAAATTAAAAGATAAGTGACAAATTATCTTACTGTATTATTTTTTATTTTAGGCTTCTGTAATAAAAGGAATAAGGTACTTACTTTAAAGGCATTTTATACTTTCTTTCAACTTTTTATTTCTAGCAGAAGAAAACTTGAAGAAAATGATGTTGAAATAAATATTGTGGGAAACGTACAGTACAGGGTGATCTTTTTTAAAGTTACAGTGTTTGGAGCGCCCTGTAGCGCAATCTAATAGCCGAAATGGCACCAAACTTGGTATTTAGACTAATCAGGACATAGGACATCAAGACATGCAATCGTACAGTTAAATTATCAATGTTTTTATTTACTACATTAACTTCCCCGGTGAGGAATTAGACCTTATTCAATGTGAGCACCGTTCTCAGAAATAACACCGTGCATTCTCTGCACAACGTTCTTTATAGCCGTATGTAACATATAACGAGGAATATTCCGCACTGTCTTTGTTATTTTGTCCTTTGAGTAGACAAATTTGATACTCCACCAACATAAACTTGAGATTTCAAATAACCCCAGAGCCGAAAATCGCATGGCGTGAAGTCAGGGGAACGAAGCGGCGATGCAACTGGAAAACTGCGACTTATGACTCTATCATCAGTGACGTTTGGAGCAACAGCTGCTTTACCTTATTACTGATGTGTGGCGGAGCACCATCCTGCATAAAGATTGTCTGTTGGAGACGGTTTTCTTTGCTGAAGTTGTGGAATACAAACGTTTGCAGCATTTCGTGTACCTTTCTGCATTTATGGTACACGTTTGGGGGTCCTGTCGGAATGATGGTCTCAAAACGAATGGCCCAATTACGAATTCGGCTGTAAAAACACACCAAACAGTGACTTTTGGGGAATTTAATGGGAGTTCGTGCACGGTGTGGGGCTTTTGTGTGTTTACGGACTCAATTCGGCTATTTTGTGTTTTTACGGACCCCCTTGAGATAAAATGGTACTCATCTCCCCACAAAATACGCCATTGGAAAGCATCATCAATTTCTACCTACCCTGGCAAAACGATAAGAGCGAATGTCATTCGCTTATCATAATCACTTGGTTTTCAGTTCGTGCAAAGCGGCTGATTTTGTAGAGGTAATTCCAATAACGCACCGCAAAACTCTCCATACCGTGGAATAATTCATGTCCAATTGTCGAGCTACACCCCGGGCGCTGCTAGCACCAACAATGGTTCCCTGCGATCCTTCGACAATTGCAGTTGCCACATCAGTTATTACATCTTCTGATACTGGTTTATTCCTCTCCCAGCGCGAATGGTCAGTAACCCCGTTTTTCCTTTCTTTTTTCTCGAACTTCTTAATCATTTTTAGACCATTACGCGATAAAAGTCCCTTTCGTACTTTTTTTCTGGTTCGAAACTACCAAAGAGCTGCGGATGCATTACATTGATTCATGTAATAGAGCTTCACCAGTAACGCACGTTCCGGTAACGTGAGAGCCATGTCCACTGAAGCTCGTTTATTTAAACAGAGATTATTTGTCGGAGCTGTCTACTACTTGCTTTTATAGCCCCTATTGCTGGCGCTGACATCGCACAACATTTGCATTTTTCTTTGATACCCGTGTTTTATGCTATTCTCGGTATTGTAAGCTACAGCAGCGCGACAAAATGCCCTAGCGGCGATTTTTGGAACTAAATTTTATTTTCACGGAATCCTTTCCCCTATGTCTTGATTAGTCTAAATACAAAGTTGGGTGCCATTTCGGCTATTAGATAGCGCTACAAGGCGCTCCAAACACTGTCACTTTAAAAAAGATCACCCTGTATATTTTCATTCCCTTACTTTGTTAAGTATATTTCAAGTAAGAGTTAATATATGTTAATGTTTGTTATGCGTGTTTTCGTGCAGTTAGATGATGAAGATAATATACAGGCAATTAAAATTTATTATATATATGGAAAATATAAAATATCTGTCTTTCAAATAATAAATTTGTAATAGCCCTTTAACTTCCGTTTTCATTCTAAAAATAACAGAACAATAATTTTCTAACTAATATCCCTGCAATTCTGATGCACACTTTTCGATGAAATCTTAAACCAGCATCTGAACATTAATCTGTTATGTGATTTGAAATGGAATTCGGTATAAAAAGGTTACTGCGTTCGTATTCTTTCTTCCCTTCTGCTTCTAGACGCTTGCGTCACCTTGCCGCTAGCCACGCAGAGTTTTAATTTTCCAATTTCGTCCATTGTTTAAGAAATGTAAGCTGCACGCAGTTGAAATGTTCATATCGCACCCACAGTGATGATGTGCATTTATCAAGGAATAAAATTATGTGTGGAATTTACCGCTATCTGTGTTTTCGAGTGTCATCTTTCTAACTACGCAGTAAAATCCCTTCAAGTTATAACGCAG